GAGGCTGACGCCACGGCACTCACTCTAGCCCGGGCAAAAGAGTGAGACTCTGTCTCAAAAAAAAATAAATAAATAAACAAACTTATCAAAATGGCTCATTATTTGTTTCTTACAGAGAGTAGACAGGTAAATTTGCATTTGAATGAACACAATCCTTTAAAAACTAATATTTTGATAACACTTAGTAGATATTTGAGAATAAGTAAAAAAAAGAATCATTTTCAACTTTAAGTTTTTAAAAAGGGAAAAGCCAAAAGCTTAAAATGAAATAATCTTAAATTCTAATGTATCAACGAATGAATAGTTTGAGACATAAGAATTATGAATTCTATGGTATTAACAAGGGTTAATTTTTACACAATTAACTTATATGATTAACTCTTGTGAGAACTTATGGCTTAGAAATACAAACTCAACATCCTGTTCAGAATGGGCAATTATGGTTTCTCTTTTAAGGATAGCATTATCCTTAAAATATTAAATTATTGGTTAAAGTAATTGATATTATTTTAAATATTAAAATAATTTACTCCATATAAGCCAGAAATTTATACCATATTATGATTGCTTTGGTCTGAACAACATCAAGGCTAATTTAAAAAATGTTTAAAATGAAAACTTCATAAATAAAACATCTGGGGATTATATTTAACACTTAGTCTAAAGGATACTAGTACAGAGAGCACATTTACCTTTTCTCCCCATCCCCAAGCCCTCCTTTGCTTCTGTTTTCCCTGAAATTTTATACGACATGGGAATTTTCTCACCGTCAACAACAGTTAATGCCCAGTTCAATTTACTCTCCTTTTGCTTTTCCATTTTTCTGCTTTTTTCCATTTTCTATCACTAGCTGTTTTTCTGATTTGTCCACACCATTTGCAGAAATACCATTCACAGCTGTTTTTCCAGTTTTTGGTTTCTTAGGCTCTTTGTATGTCCGAACGTAGAAGTTAAGAAAGAGAAATATGAAGCTGATTGCATAAGCAATTAGAGCCCAGTGCATCCATTTGGGGAAGGGGCAATCAGTATAAAGAGACAGTGCTGTGTGCCCAATGGTGACATGGAACTGAATCTGAAAAACAAAAACAACAGCACATGACATATTTGATCTGAATAGTAAACAACTTTTAACAACATCGGAATCTTCTACACAGCTATCATAGGCCCAAATTTTGACACATCATTCAAAGTTTAACAGTACTCTGGCTCCCACAGCTGGCTCCTTCTCACTCAGGTCACAGCTCAAATGCCATCTCCTCAGCAAGGGCTTCCTAATGACTTCAACTGACCCTCTCAATCCCATTAACCAAAGGGTTTTTAATTAATGTTTGTTTTTGAGAAGAATTATAACTATTTGAAATTGTCTTTTGTATTTGTTGACTTCTTTTTGTTTGGTTGGGGTTTGTTTGTTTTTGTTTCTTGAGACAAGAGTCTCACCCTGTCGTCCTGGGTAGAGTGCAATGGCGTCATTGTAGTTCCCAGCAATCTCAAACTCCTGGGCTCAAGTGACCCTTCTGCCTCAGCCTCCCGAGTAGCTGGGACTAAGGGCACACGCCACTGTGCCTGGATAATTTTTCTATTTGTTTTAGTAGAAACAGGGTCTTGATCTTGCTCAGGCTGGTCTCAAACTCCTAAGCTCAAGCAATCCTCCCGCCTTGGCCTCCCAGAGTGCCAGGATTACAGGTGTGAACCTCCGTGCCCAGCCTCTGTTGACTCTTTATTGTCTATCTTTACACTAGACTATAACTCCAGAAGGCAGGGCTCTGTCTTGCTCATTGATGATTCCTGACTCCTTGGCACAGTATCAAGACTCAATGAATATTTGCTGAATAATGTTATCTGATGAGAGGGAATCAATAGCCTAGAAGAGTAAAGCAACAGCATTGTAGACTCTTCGATTTTGTTTTCCTCTCACATTTTAGCCTGATTTCTAAAATCAGTCAGGTAAGTAAGCAGGTATATGTACTTTTTAAAATGAACTTATTGGCTAGGCACGGTGGCTCATGTCTCTAATCCTAGCACTTTGGGAGGCCAAGGGGTGAGGATTCCTTGAGGTCAGGAGTTCAAGACTAGCCTGAGTTAGAGTAAGACCTCATCTTTAAAAAAATGGAAAAAAATTAGCTGGGCATCGTGGCATGCGCCTGTAGTCCCAGCTACTCAGGAAGCTGAGGCAGGAGGATCGCTTCAGCCCAGGAGTTTAAGGTTGCAGCGAGCTGATGATGCCCCTCCACTCTAGCTGGGGCAGCAAAGTGAGACCCTATCTCAAAAATAAATAAATAGGCTGGGTGTAGTGACTCATGCCTGTAATCCTAGCACTCTGGGAGGCCAAGGTGGGAGGATCGCTCAAGGTCAGGGGTTAGAGACCAGCCTGAGCAAGAGCAAGACCCCGTCTCTACTAAAAATAGAAAGGTATTATTTGGACAACTAAAAATATATGTAGAAAAAATTAGCTGGGCAT